CCTCCATTCCCACCCGGCTCGCTTGCTTCTCGTCGCGCCCTCAGCCCTGCCTCAGGCCGGGCGGGATGCAAGGCCGTGAGGCCTGGAGGTGCTTCGGCCTGGGAGGAGACCCCGTGTCGTAGTCCTCCGCCCGGTCCCCCGTTCCCCATGTGCCACAGCCATCTCCCACGGCAGTGGAGCGGGCTGGGGCAGCCCGGGCGAGTCAGCTGCTAGCCACAGGGCGAGGGCGTGCAGGGGAGTGCAGGCCCGGGGCCCTGCTGGGCTGAAGGAACTCGGGTTTGTGCCTGGCAACCTCCCGCCGTACTGCTTCTGGGACGGCTTTGCGGGAGGAACAAGTGGCTTTTCACGTGCCTGTGGCTAACACAAGCCCAGTGCCTGCACGCCACCCCCCTGGGGCAGGGCAGTTTTGGCCTGTGGGGTGTTTAGGTACCAGTCCACTGAAGGTGTATGGGGGGAGTTTGCTCAACTGCGGTCAGGCAAAAGCTGCCCTGCACCCCTTCATCAATTGTGTTTCTTAGCGTGAGTAAAAAAACCCAGCTTTTTGCTGTTCAGCCTTGGCTTGGAAAGGGCTCCTGTTGAGGAGTGAGAGGCGTGGGGTTGGCAGGGGTCTGGGCAGCACGCCAGGCAGATGGGGCTTTGCCGCAGGGGTGGTTTGGGGCTCACAAAAGCAGAAGAGCAGAGCAGGCTGCGGCATCACAGCCTTTGTTTCCCCTATGTTGGTGCTAGTTTGGGAGGCCTGAGCCAGCTTCCCATCCAGGTTTGGCCAAAGCACAAGCACCTGAGCATTGCAGGGCAGGCATACCGCTCTGCAGAACTGTGCACACTAATAAAGTATTGAAAAAGAAGGGGGAGAAAGAAAGAGGGTAAGACAACATACCAAAATGAAGTCAGAAGTAAAGTATCTGTAGCTATTTCAATGCAGAGAAACATTGACAAAGATGTTGGAGGATGAGACTTGCAAAACTTACACAGAAATATTCAAGGAGTTAAAAGTATTTAACCTGGCTAAGCAGTGCTAAACAGGGGACATGACAGACAAGGATTTGAAGAGTCACAGGGAAGGGACTATCAAAGGCAGTAGTAGTGCCACTTTGTCTCTCTTCCTGAACTAGTTCTGCATCTTTGTTAAGATTTATGTTAAGGGTTTACTTAAGAGGCTGTGAAGATATTAGTTCCTACTGTAATTTGGACACTTCCCAGTCCCAGTCTCACATGGGTCTGGAGAGGGCTCACTTCATTCTTAACACATCATGTTCCGAAGGAAGTTATTTAAGATCATTACAGCAGAAACAGATGAGGAGGCATGCCTGCCCTAGCAACATTTTGACAATGTACTTTTCCTTCTTTTGAGAGAATGCAGCACCTTTCTGGAAGTGTATAGACAAGACTGTATTTCAAGAGAGGCATTAATCTTAAAAACATTTTTGCACCAGTTAAACTCCAGAATAAATAATGTCAAGCATGTGTCGTATGTTCTCCTCCATTGTACAGCCAACCATTCCATCAGCTTTCTTTGCCTCTCCACATCCCCCCTCGCCCTCAACAAGGATGACATTGCTCTGGTCAGAGCTCAAGTTACACATTTCAGCAGAACTGGACAGTGTTTAGCCTTCAGAGTCACATTCTTGATTTGAAGTTCATGGTTAACAAATGGTCTCTCTTCTCCTTTAGTGTTTGTAGTGGACATCAGTAGAAATCAACATGTATCCCTGTGGGGAGAAGTACAGTCACTAAGATGCTATGAATTGCAACATGAAGGTGGTTTTTTGGTTGGTTGGTTTTGTTGCTTTTTTTTTTTTTTGTTATTTGGGTAGTGGGGTTTTTTGGGTTTATTTTGGTTTTTTTTGGTTTTTTTTTTTTTAATTTCAGCTTGATCCTGGTGTTAAAGGTCAGAAAAATCTACTGAAAACAGCTGAGCCTTGGAAGTAACAAGTGTTTTTAAACTCTGCCCTTTTAACTTTGCAAAAGAGCCCCATCTTTCCCTGGGTGTTATCCCTTTGCACCATGCTAGCGACAGAAGGGATGTTTAAAGATCATACAGGAAAGTTCATCTGAGCCTTGAGGCCACTAGGCAATCATCACAAGGTGGGATTGTTTTTTTTACCTAATTTAAGCCCCTTAAGAATTAGCCGTCTAGTCTAAACTTACCCTTAAGGCTTCCCCAATTGTCAGCCCATCACAGTCTAATATGGTTATCTGTTAAAAGCAGGAAGGATTGTCTTTCTCACTATTGACCATGGCCAATAGACTGGGACTGGAAGTGGAGACTACAAAAATAGCTTTTAAATAGGAATCCCATTCACTTTGATAGCGTATAGCAATTCTGTGTCCCCTCTTGTTCCTATGTACTGATGAGGAGACTGATTAAAGAAAGTGAGGTGGGGAACGGGCCCCACAGAACCACTAAAAATCCGTCATTCATAATTAGCTTATAATGTTGTTGGCAACTAGTGCCACTGAAAGCAGTCTCCAAGCAATTATATTTTGTAGGGACTGCATAGCTGGCTGCTGCCAGGTGTGCGGAATGCAAAGAAAGATTCAAAAAACCCCTTTGCGTTTCTTTCCTGAGTTGTGCTTTGTGTTTAACCACAAACAAGGATTTGAGACTGTCTCTGCAGAGCTGAAAAATCACTGAGAAGTTGGTAAACAAGTGGAGAAATATAACTGGCTTACCCATTTTCTGGGAGTTCGTTTGTCAGCAATGCCTTTGTACTGATTATTTGATTGTCTAGCAAAATTCTGTATGTTCAAAGTAAGGGCTAGAGCGTGTTGTAAGAGGCACAGACTGAGGTGTGATTTGGAGAAGAATAACCAGAAGGCAGTGAAATCTCATAAAACATTCTTTAACTACTTTTGACTAATAGCCATTATCACTGATTATTAACAAAATCCAGTCATCCTAGGTGCACAAAATTTAATCCACCTCCCTCTCATAATTCAGCTATTCCTGTTAACAGCCAGGAGAACAAGTGGATAGCGATAAGTTTGCCAAATCAAATCAAATTAGAATTGAGTGAGTTGTTAAAGGTAAACCTGTTTGCACACTCAGTTGCAACTTGAAAGGCTGAGCAAGCTGTGCATTTGATCACTTCATGGTTAGTTATTTAATGCAGTTCTCGCTTTTGCATCTCAAAGAAAGATAAATTTGTTTCTAATAGGATTTTACTATTATTACAGATCTTATTTGAACCCCAGAGCTTTTTACTGCTTAACTAGCTCAAATCTAGCAAGATTATTGTAAAGACAGAAGGTGAATAAATGCCTAGCCAAAAAAAAAAAAGAAAAAAGGAAGAATAACCTTTTCATGAGTGTGTCAAAATCTCACCTGTACAAGTGTAATGTGAGGTCTCGTCAAGGTAACATTGGCCAGATTGGGAAGAGGGAATCCTTTTGACAGTTTAGCTTAAAAAAAAGAAAAAAAAGAGACAAACGCAGTGATTTAGGTATGCATTGGAAAGATAATAAATACCTGCCCTTCAAACAACCCTGTTTGTCCAGGGATTTCTAGGTCATTTACAACAATTAACCTCTCAGTCTTCACAAGCAGCCCTGGGAGGGAGATATGATGCTCATTTACCAATGGGGGAAGAGAATTACAGGTGCTTTTCTCTTGGCAGAATGTTGTAGCCAAACCAAGGCATTTCATGTTCAACACATGACATAGTGATTTGTCCCTAGTGACCTCAGGGATTGTTAATACAGCTCTAGCATCATTAGAACCTGTCCCCATTTGTCTCCATTCATTAAGGAAGGTGAAGTTCATCCCAGTACAGAGGGCTGGCACAAAGCTAAGTCTCCTTCCAGGGCCTTAAATAAGATTTATGAGAGGCAGAAGCCCTGTGCTGGTCCTGTAAAGAGGAATACATTTCACACACAGGGGCCTCAGGCAGATGTGCATGCTAGAGAGACATGCTTCTCACTGATGTATCAGGGCCACCTTGAGTGAGGTGAAGACAGGTGAATTAAGAGTTTCCAAGCCCTTTTTGCAGAACAGTGCCAGTACCAGGCCATACTTACACCCCTACAATTCAATCTCCCCCTTCCACTGCTTACTGGCTGATGCTCATTTGCACTCAAGTTAACAGAGCTAGAAACTTAATCTAAAAGTCAGTAGAAGTTCATAGAATCACCCACCCTGCTGGAAGCTTTTAGCTTAGAAAGACAGCCTTACCATTAGCTGATGGAATGACTTCAGTCTGTAAGATGTAAGACAGGATGTTCTCCAGAAGTGAGATCTGCCATAAACAAGAAAACCGAGTTAGCCATCTCTTCCTGCTAGTGATAGAAATGTTGTGCCGTAATCCTGGATGGAATTAGTAGGCTCATGCTCAACTCTAAGCTCTCATTTGGTCCAAAAGAGTCATAAGCTAACGTGAGCTTTGGATCTTAAGTCTTTGGAATGATGTAACAGAAGTGAGATGCAAAATGCAAGCGGGTCTCATCATGGGCTCCTCACTACAAGAAAGACATTGAGATTCTGGAGCGAGTCCAGAGAAGGGCAACGAAGCTGGTGAGGGGTCTGGGAACTGGGGTTGTTCAGCCTGGAGAAAAGGAGGCTGAGGGGAGACTTTATCGCTCTCTACAACTACCTGAAAGGAGGCTGTAGTGAGGTAGGGTTCGGTCTCTTCTCCCAAGTAAGAAGTGATAGGACAAGAGGAAATGGCCTCAAGTTGAACCAGGGGAGGTTTAGATTGGATATTAGGAAAAATTTCTTCAAAGAAAGAGTTATCAAACATTGGAACAGGCTGCCCAGGGAAGTGGTGGAATTGCCATCCCTGGAGGGATTTAAGAGACGAGTAGACGTGGTGCATAGGGACGTGGTTTAGTGGTGGTTTTGGCAGTATTATGTTGATGGTTGGACTCGATGGTC